CACGAGGGTGCAGGAGCTTGCACGAGTGTGCATAGCCCCTTGCATGCCCATGTACCCCGTGCCCCTTTGCAAACCCCTCCCGGATGCAACACAGGAGCACCCGGAGCAGGTGCCATCGTCCCCAAGGTCACATTCATTGGCAGCTCCCAAGCACGCGCTGGGCCCCCTCCCCGGGACGTCCCCCCACCCCAGGGTGCTGGGGACCCTCGCAGGCACCCCGTGCTCCCCGCTTTGCAGCTGGATGCGGGTTTGCACGTGCAGGCCTGCAAGCACGTGCGCACCCACGCGTGCAAACCCACGTGTGCAAGCCCACGCGTGCAAGCCCACGTGCGCCCTTGCTCGCTTGCACCGGCCTGGCCCCCCCGGTGCCGCAGCAGCCCGGGGGAGGACGCTAATAACTCTCTTAATGGCAGCGGGGGCGGATGGGAACGTGCCGGGTTGTGGGGAGGAGGGGGAAAGAAAGAGGAAAAATAATGTGTCCCCCCCCCAGGTGCTTCCTTGCACACTCATGATGCTGCCCCCCGGGCCGGGAGTGGGACATGGGGGACAAGTGTGGCCTTGCACGGTCATGCGTGTGCTTGCATGGAGCTGCCTGGCCTTGCACGACCTTGCATGGGCTTGCACAGGGTCGCGCAAGTGTGCGCAGGCTTGCAGGGCCTTGCACGGTGCTGTGTGGGTGTGCACGGGCTTGCATGGCCTTGCACAGGTGTACACGAGCACATGCAGTCTTACACGACCGTGTGCAGCCTTGCATGAGTGTGCACAGCATTGCATGAGTGTGCACAGCCCTGCATGGACCCATGTGGAATTGCACATCCGTGCATGGCCTTGCACAACCCTGTGTGTTCATGCACGGCCTTGCACAAGCACATGCAGCTCTGCACGGCCGTGCACAGCCCTGCATATCCGTGCAAGGCCTTGCACAACCCTGTACATCCATGCATGGCCTTGCAGTGTCTTGCACAGATGTGCACGACCATGTGCAGACCCGCGTGGCCTTGCACGACCATGCACAGCCCTGCACAACCATGCACGGCCGTGCAGCACGAGGGCTCTGTGCATGGTCTTGCACAACCCTGTGCACTCATGTACAGCCTTGTACTCCCCTGTATGATCCCGCAGGGCAATGCCCACCTGTTGCACGCCCTTGCACACTCCTGTGCCCCTTGCACGGCTGCTTGCTCACCTCGCTGCATCGGTGGCTCCTCACGCCCCACCTGCCAGCTCTCATTAGCGCTAACGAGGCCGAGGGCTGCCAGGTGGCCGGAGGAGCCGCAGGAAACCGTTTCCCGCCTGATTCCAGCGGGAATATCCCTAACGAAGGAGTGGGAGAGCACCGGATGCCTGGGCCCTGGCCCTGCAGCGTGGGGACTCGCTGCCTTCCCGGAAAACTCCTTGCACGGAGCTTTCCGCCGGGAAGGGAGCGGCTTCGGGTGCGCGAGCGAGGCGGCTGCAGCGGGAGACAGCGGGAGACAGATGGGATTTCCCCCCCCCAAATCGCTTCCCGCCCCCGCGTTCCCCCACCACGCCGGGCACACGGACAGACAGACAGACGGCCGGGGGCTCGAGCGCCCGGCAGACGGAGGGGGCTGTCGCAGCGTGGGTGCTGGGAGACCCTTGGGTGCTGCCCGCCGCGTGCGCACGTGGGCACGTGGGCGTGCAGAGCATGTGCGTGTGCCGCAGGCAGCTTCGCAAGGCGTGCACAGGTGTGCACTGTGGGTGCACGCACATGTTGCATGCATGCCGCTGTGCGCGTATACGTGTGCACAATATACATGCACGTGCGTGTCTGCACACGGATGTGGGCATGCATACGTGCACACGTGTGTACAAGTGCGTGCACGCACGGTAGGCACCGACTTGTGCATGCACCTCCATGCACGCCTGCCTGTGTGCACACATTGCACGTGCAATTTTGCACACACGTATCCGTGCACACATGTATGCATGACACGAGTGTGCACATGTGTGCATGCGCCTGGCGGTGCTGCCGCTCCCTGCGCGTGGCGCGCGGTGTCCCCGGCGGCTGCCGTGTCCCCGCGCGGGGACCTTG